TAGTTGTCTTGTTCCCACATGGCCTCATCCTCTGAGTGGTTTTGTCACTGCACCTTGTAGAACTTCACCACACTGTTTCTTGTCACTCTTTCCTTTTTATCCGGGATTTTTACAGGGTGTTCAATATAAGTCAAATCAGGCTGGAGTCAAAGTCCTTCAATTTCCACAGCTTCATCTGGTACCCACAAACATTTCTTTAATTGTGAGACGTGAAACACATCGTGTACCGCCGATAAAATATCGAGAAACTGGAGACGATAAGCAACTGGACCACGCTATGCCAAAACCTCGTAAGGACCCACATATCGAGGGGCTAACTTGCTATGGACACCAAACTGATGCACCCCACTCATATAAGACACCTTCAGATACACATAATCTCCGTCTGCAAACTGTAAGGGCCTTCTTCGCTTGTCTGTATAAGCTTTCTATCGGCTCTGAGCTGCCTTCAAGTGGCTCTGAATAATGCTTACTTGCTTTCGAGCCTCTTTGATGAAATTAGGCCCAAAATATCCAGTCTCCCACTTCAACCCAGCTAAGTGGTGTCCTACACTTTCTTTCATACAGAGCTTCAAATGGTGTCATACGAATACTCTCTTGGTAGCTATTATTGTAAGAAAATTCAGCTAACTTCAGGCATCCGTCCCACTTCTCAGGAAAAAAATGGCACAAGCTCTCAACATATCCTCGAGCACCTAGTTCACCTTTTCCGTTTGGCCATCAGTTTGTGGATGATATGCTGAGCTTCTGAGAAGACGAGTACCAAGACATTGCTATAGTTGTTCCCAGAAACGAGAGACAAAAACTGACCCTCTATCAGAGATGATAGTAAAGGGAACTCCGTGTAGGGTCATAATCCGATCAAAATATATCTCAGCATACTTCTTGGCTGTATATTTAGTGTCCACCGAGATAAAATGAGCAGACTTAGTGAGACGGTCCACAATGACCCAAATAGAATCATAGCCCTTGGATGTGCGGGGCAAACCCACCACAAAGTCCATGGAGATATCTTTCCATTTCCAAACAGGAATGAGCAAGGGCTGTAAATATCCTGGAGTACGCATATGATCTGCTTTAACTCTCCCACAAGTGTCGCACTCCGCGACGTGCTGTGTGATATCTTGCTTCATGTTGGACCACTAGTACAAGTGGCGCAAATCATGATACATCTTATTGCTGCCAGGATGGATAGAAAGCTTTGAATGATGGGCTTCATTCAAAATCTTCCTTCTCAGATCCTCATTTGATCGAACCACCAAGCTGTCTTTGTATCTCACTACTCCTTGCTCATCAATACTAAAGTGAGGACCACGCCCTTCGGCATCAATTTCCTGATGTGAGGAATTTCTTCAGTGTCTTGCCTCTACTCTAGAATAATCCGCTCTAGCAATTCTGAGGTCAAAGCAATGTGAGCTAGCACCTCTGCATGGTTGAGAGACAAGGGTGTTTCTTCAACCTAATATGACTTCCGGCTCAAGGCATCAGCTACTACATTGACCTTTCTTGGGTGGTAATGTACCTCTAAGTTATAATCCTTGATCAATTCCAACCATCTCATTTGCCTCATATTCAACTCATACTGAGTGAAAATATATTTGAGACTCTTATGATCTGTAAAAATATGTACTTTATTGCCCAACAGATAGTGCCTCTAAATCTGTAGAGCGTGGACCACAGCAGCCAGCTCTAAATCATAAGTGGGGTAATTTACTTCGTGCTTTTTCAGTTGGCGTGAAGCATAAGCTATCACACGCCCATCCTGCATCAGCCCACATCCCAACCCCGTCTTCGAGGCATCACAATATACATTAAAGGGTCAGTCAATATCTGGTTGGGCCAAGACAGGAGCAGTGGTTAGAAATGTCTTCAAAGCTTGGAAGGTTTCTTCATAGGCTGGACTCCAATCAAACTTGGCTTCTTTTTAGAGCAGCTTGGTCATCGGCTGAGCTATCTTGGAGAAGTCTGGAATAAAACGCCGATAGTATCCAGCTAGACCAAGGAACTGACGAATCTAGTGTACTAACTTGGGAGACTTCCAATTCACTTTGCTAGGGTCAACGGAGATACCGTCAGGTGTCAAAACATGCCCCAAAAACTGCACTCGATCTAACCAGAATTCACACTTGCTGAATTTAGCATACAACTTGTGCTCCCTCAATCGAGCCAGCACTATCCGAAGGTGTTGGGCATACTCTTCATCGTTCTTGGAATATATCAGGATATCATCAATGAATACCACAGCAAACTTGTTCAGCTCTGGCATAAAGACTGAATTTATCAAATACATGAAGAATGCAGGAGCGTTGGTGAGACCGAAGGACATTACTAGGTATTCATACAGCCCATACCTAGTAGAAATAGCTATCTTTGGTATATCTTGTGGTCTAATATTGATCTGATGATAGCCTAAACGAAGGTCAATCTTGGAGAACACCTCGACACTAGCCAATTGATTGAACAAAGTATCTATACAGGGCAAAGGATACTTGTTCTTAATGGTTACCGCATTAAGAGGGCGGTAATCCACACACATCCAAAGAGAGTCATCTTTTTTCTTCACAAAAATGGCTGGACAACCCCATGGTGAAGAGCTAGGACGGTTGAAACCTTTTTCTAGCAACTCTTCCAACTGCTTCTTCATTTTAGCCAATTCCTTCGGAGCCATGCGGTATGGGCATATGGAGATAGGAGCAGTACCAAGCTCTAACTCGATGGAGAATTCCACCTCTCTCCGGTGGCAACCCAAGTAGATCTTCAGAAAAAAAAAACATCCGGGAACTCACATACTACCGGAATAGAGGCAAGATCAGGAGACTTCAGCATGAGTAGCAACAGGTAAGACTGGATCTGAGGGTACAAGAAGAGACATCCTATCCTAAGAAGAAGGAAGTTGTAACTCCACAACTCTCTGTGTCAGATCTATGACTACCCCATACACACGCAACCAGTTCATCCCAAGAATGGCATCAATGCCTTGCCCGGGCAGCACCATGAACTGGAAACGGTAAGTGTGAGTGGCTAATACCAAGCTCACTGTGTCTGCCCGAGTATTGATGCACATCTGTGCACCCGGAGTACGGGTTCTATAGGCAAACGGTATAGCCATAATGGGTATATTGTGCCAGTCTACAAATCCCATGCTCATGAATAAATGTGATGCACCAGAATCAAACAACACATAAGCTGGATGGGAATCAATGGTAAACATACCAGCCATCACCGGTTCCTGTTGCAATATATGCTCAGCATCCGTGAAATTCACCTGTCCAGAGCGGCTGACTGGCACTTTCTTCTTAATAACCGTCCGCTTGACTAGCCTGGAGTTAGCCGATGGCTGAGCAGACTGGACTGGCTGGTTTTGGGGACACTCTCGGATATAGTGGCCATCTTTGCCACATTTGAAACAAGCACCCGGCTTGTTTCCCTATCCCAGACGAGGTGGGACCTACTGTTCCTGAGACCGCTGAGGTTGCACCTGCTGGATGGGTGCACGGTACTGCGTGGAAGAAGCCTGGAAAGTCTGCTGTGGCTGTCGAAATGAATGCCCTTCTGATGATTGATAGGGCACCCGCTTGACAACCTATACTTTTTGAGTATGGGGGTGGCTAGAAGACCCAGTAGCCACCCGCTTTCGCTACCATTCTGCCAGGGAATCCCGCTGCAAGCCCTCCATAGCGATGGCAACATTCATCATTGCCCCAAAGGTCTGATAGTTCCCAGTATATAGCTCCTTCTGTAGGCTGCAAGAGAGGCCGCGATAGAAGCGGTCCCTCTTCTCATCTGTATCCACATGGGTTCCAGCATACTGGGACAAGTGATTGAACTTATTGATGTAGTCCATCACTGACAAACTACCTTGCCCCAGGTCTAGGAACTCAGTCAGCTTTCTATTGAGGACACCAGCGGGAATATAAAATTCCCTGAATGCTGCGGTGAACTCCTGCCAGGTCACCTGGTGATCTGGCTGCTGCATGGCATTGAAGGTATCCCACCATGCATTCGAGGACCCCAACAACTGTTGCACTGCAAAGCGCACTTTCTGCTCATTAGTCATGTTGAGCAACAGAAACTTTTGCGCTAGAATGCGAAGCCAATGCTCCGCATCCAGGGGCTCAGCTGATGGTGTGAACGTGGGTGGGTGCATCTTGTGGAAATCCTGATACGAGCAGGGTCCCTCAGAACCGCGGGCACCACTAGGGATGAAAACGGTACGGAAATATCCCGAACCGAACCGCATCGTTTTCTACATTTAACCCGATCGAATTTGTATTTTCGGACAAATTCGAATTTGGTTCGAAATATGGAACACCAAATTCGAAATCGGAATGAAATCGGTTTAGACTTTTTTCGACCGATTTCTACTTTTCTACTTTTAATTCGGAATATCCCGAATTCGAATTCGGTTTAATTCGAATTTAGTGCACTACGGTGCGTGGTTCAGTGGCCAGCTACCCTCTCAAATAGGCGGCGCCCAGCCTCGTCAAGGCATCTCCTCGCGAGGTGGTACTAATCTTAAACGGCAGCATGCCAGCAGCCAACATGCAGTAGCAATCTTCAAAGCTTCCCTTCTTGGGCCCAGGCGCCCAGCCCAATAACAAGTCTGACAACCCTAAGTGGAGAGACTAGAGACTCCCGTAGTCCCGTACTCCCGTGACCGTGAGACCGTGGCCGTCTCCTCCCTGTCCGTCGCTCCCTCCTTGGTGGCGCCCCTGACGGTGACTCCGACTCCAGCCTCCACGTCGGCCGCCTACATCCAACCCCGTCGATCGCGCCTCCATCCAACCCTGCCGGCCACGCCTCCATCCAACCCCGTCGGCTGCTGGCGTCCCCAATCCCCAGTTCCCCACCCCGCCAGAGCCGCTGGCCACCACCCAGCCATGAGGCCGCGCCTCCATCCAACCACACCGACCGCCAGCGTCCCCAATCCCAGTTCCCCACCTCACCAGAGCCACCGGCCGCCACCCAGCCACGAGGCAGTGTCGCCACCCCGCCCATCGATGGCCCCCACTAGAGAAGGTGGTTCTGCTCCTAGATCGAAGGGCAAAGACAAGACCAAGACCAAGAGCGTGCGCCACCTTCTAGCGCCGCCGGCAGCACTGGCAGCGGCATCGTCACCAGCAGCAACGACTTCTCTAGCAACAGGTACTAATTGTCATGGGTCATATAGTAAGCTACCTTACCTTGCTTATATTAAGATATAATAAATTGCAAGCCATAGTACAAGATCAACATATGTAAGCCAAACATGCCTTAAGAGTATGTTTTTAACACTGATGTTTTGAAGATCATTTATATTTTTAGTCAACAATTGAAAAAAAAGAGAGGAGTAAATCATTCCCTGTAATAAACTCTAGTTCCATAGGGCAGCATGCAAAATAGACCCTCAATCTGCTTCTTTGTTTTGTTGTAATTTACCATGTGAAAACAAAACAAATAGTGTACTCATAAGTGATACACTTTTAAAAGCATTCTCATCATATTTCCCATGCTCTCATGGAAGTATCAAGCATAAAATCAATCGGCATTGAACAAATGAGTGACTTCACCGAGCTCGGGACTTTTAAGTCGATCTTGATCGATTACCTACACGCATTGTCTTGTCTGCATGGTCACTTCACAATATACTTCAAGCAAATATGCCAGTGATTTTTGCGGTTTCAATAGAATTTCACATGCCTGAAGTAAAATCAGTTGTACCTACTTGATTATTGCTTTTGTTATTGATGAAGCTTGGCTATTTGGGACCTTTTACTTGATTATTTGGGACCGGCATGCACTGATTTAGCAATGTTTCACTTGGCTCTTGGCACGACCAAGGAGTAAAAGGCCTTCATCTCAAAGTATTAGCTCTAGTGGAACTTGTGAAAGTCCAAACTGACAAGATGATCGATGAAAAGACATCGATGATGGGTTCTTCTGCTCCAAATGTTGACACCGATTCTTGCGATGGCGATGATATTGCCAACTTTACAAAGAACAACCACAACTTCAGTGACCACAACTTCAATTAATGTCGATGATGATGATGATGATGAGTAGTCTCACCTTTCTGGCAAGAGGTTCAAGAAATGCACATCGTCTGTCTGGAAGTATTTCACCAAGAAAAAGGAGGTTTCAGAGGTGGAGGGAAAGCAGTTTGAGCAGCTGTGGGGATACCGCAATTTCGCTAACTGCAATCAGAGGTACAGAGCTGAGGGCGTATGTGGGACAACTGCATTCAAGAACCATTTGAAGTCAAAGCACAATATTGTGGAGGGACAACAACTGCTTAAAGTTGGTAAGAACCCTGGTAGTGAAAATGCTCATGTTCAGCCTTTCAAATATGACCAAGAAGCTAGCTTGAAGAAATTGAATTTGGCAATAACCATGCATGAATATCCTTTCAATATAGTTGAGCATGAGTATCTTATTGATTTCATAAAATCTCTCCGTCCTAGCTTTCCAATAAAGTCCTGTGTCACTGCTAGGAAAGAAATAATGGACAAATATCTTGAAGAAAAGGAAACTTTGTATGTACACTTGAAAACTATCAAGTGCCGCTTTAGTGCAACAATAGATATGTGGACCTCATGCCAAAATAAAGGATACATGTGTGTTACTATTCATTAGATAGATGATAATTGGCGTATGCAAAAGAGAATTATTGGTTTCTTCAATGTAAAAGGAAGGCATACTGATGCAAAGTTGTCTGAGTCATTCACTGAAGTTATGGTTAAATGGTACATTGAAAATAGACTGTTGCTTTGACTTTGAATAATGCTAGTTCAAATGAAGTGGTTGTCAACGATATAATTTCAGATCTGAAAGAGAATGCTAATAGTTCCCTAGTTTGTGATGGGATGTTTTTCATGTTCGATGTGCCTGCCATATTCTCAATTTGGTTGCTAGAGATGGGTTGAAAGTCATTTCAGGAACAATCGGCAAGGTCAAATCACTTGTACTAGCTGTGAAAGGGTCTCCATTATAGTGGGAAGAGCTTATGATGTGTGCCACCGAAGCTGGGTTGGATACAAAGAGGGGTATCTCGATGGATGTTTCAACCAGGTGGAATTCTACCTACCTAATGCTGAGAGATGCCTTGTACTACAAGGATGCATGTATTAGGCTAAAGTCTTCAAATCGCCGTAGGTATGCCAAGATTTCTCCATCTTCTGTTGAATAATGGGACAATGCATTGACAATTTATTGTTGCTTGAAGAAATTTTATGATCTCACTGAAATTCTATCTGGCACTTCATATCCTACTTCAAACTTATTTTATAGAGGTTTCTGTGATATAAAGCTCTTGCCTGACGACTCGTGCTGTAGTGGAGATGCTATAATTAGAGATATGGCAATTGCTATGAATGACAAATTTGATAAATATTGGCAGTAGTCCAACATTGCTCTAGTTGTAGCCTGTTTTCTTGATCCTAGGTATAAGAAAAGGCTGATAGAGTACTACATGAAGAAGTTCTATGGTGATCATTATCAAGTTGAACTTGATGAGTTTGTTACTGTGGTAAAGAAACTGTACAACTTTTATGTTAATTCTGCTCCTGCATCATCAAAGAAAAATAATAAAGGGGTTGCACCTGGACCTAGTAACACAATTGATATATTAATGGGAAATGTAGACCATGACCTAGAAGAATTCTTATATGATGCAAGTGAACCTGCTATGGTTGAGTCAAATGAGTTGGAGAGGAATATTGTAGAACCACTTCTGAAAATTGTTGGTGAGTTTGACATCTTAGCATGGTGGAAAAACAAGAGAGAACAATATCCTATCCTTTCGCAAATTGTTCGGGATGTAATGGCCATACAAGTATCAACAGTAGCATCCGAGTCTGCTTTTAGTGCTGCTGGTCGTGTTGTTGATCCCTATCGTAGTCGTCTTGATCCTGAGATGGTACAGGCATTAATTTGCACAAAGGACTGGGTTGCTGTAGCAAGAAAAGGTGCTCATTTTATCTATTTTTTAGTTAGACACACTTATAATTGCAGTAGAATAATGCATTGATTATTTTCCTTTCTCATTTTTTGTTCAGATTCTAAAATGGTTGGATCAATTGTGACTGATCTTGAGGTTGAGGCTTTGGCTAATGTTGTGGCTAAACTGAAAATTGAGGTATGTTTGTTGGCTGCTTTCTCTGAAGTCTTTGAACTGCTCTCCTCCCTCCCTCCTTCCCTCCCTAGTCTACGTGTAGGAAGGAGAGAAGTGACTTTTTATTTGTTACTAATGCTGGATACTTGATATGCTGGACTTCATGCTAGCTTGGTGCAATATGCTGGACTAAAATTTACTAAGATATATAGCCTCTTTGACGTGGACTGTGGCTAGCCATACCTTCTATTCTAAACGCTGCAACTGCTATCAGGCACTATAGATTTTTTTAGCTCCCATGACAGTTGGCTGCTGCTGCCTACAACAATTGCTATACAACAATTGCCTACAACAGTTGGCTGCTGCTGCCTACAACAATTGCTATCAGGCAACTGCTATCAGGCACTATAGATTTCATCTTACTTGCTGGCTTCTCTTGTTCATGGAGCAAGCGCAAGCTGGAAGGTAGTAGCATCTAGTTAGGTGTGGCATGAGCTTATGGAATTGGCCCCCTCTTGATTTTAGCACAGGCTCCGCCACTGGTTGCTACATCTAATTTGAATTCACTTTGCAAACTTGTAGGAAAAGGACAAGGAGGGGGATGAGGACAATGAGGAAGCAAAAGACATGGAAAGTGATCCTGACCTCATGGATGATGTTGATGAACTATAGATGTTTTGTTATCTGTTAGTGTTAATTGCTTGTTGTAGACTTGTATTTGTGTGTCAGGCCGTCAGCTATTGTGTTAATACTTAAGAGTTGAGACAAGGGTCATGCACTTGTTAATTATTATATGTGCTTGAACTTGATCATGCACTTGGTAATTGTTATGTGCTTGGGTCATGCACTTGTTAATTGTTATGGACTCTACGGGTCGGTATTCCGTATTGAATTTTCATATACCGACCGTGTTCGACATAATTCCGCTCGAATTGGTTCGTTTTCGATATTCCGTAAGTTCGTGTTCGTTTTCGTATCCGGCTTTACCGTTTTTGCTTTCGTTTTTGTATTCAAATGTAAATGTAGAAAACAGTTGAGGGGTTTTTCGACTGTTTTCATCCATAGGCACCACCTCCGTTCCCACCATTGCCCCTGTGGCCCCCACGGGCGAAGCCACCGATAGCCTTCCTAGCAGTTCTATGGCACGGGCTGACTCGCGGCGAGCTGCCATCATCTCCGCGTGCGTCATCGGCGGTGGTGGTGGCGGAGGAGAAGGAGCCAATAGTAGAGCCTCATGGCTCTCTCCGTTACCGTGCTCATTGGCCCGACCACTTTCACCTTGGCCCTCGCCAAGATCGTGGCTCGCTCTGGCACTAGTGCTCCTGCGTCCGAACCTCAGATTCATCTGTAAGAGATAGGAACCAACCTCTTAGGACAACCTTCTAGATCAGAAACAAGGGATTAGAGAAACGATGAGACATTTATTAAAACATTCTTTTAGTTATCCTATCAATTTACTAATCCAATTATATGTGTAGGGGGCTTTAGTTTAAGCAAGATGCTTTTATCATGATGCATGTATCGGCCTGTATGCTCACTCAAGCCGGAATATAGCGGCATTCGCAAAATTTCGGCACATCGCACACTCACTTTCCGCATACTAAGCGATTTCTTACGCAACGTAAGTCAGTGTATATGCAAAAAACTGATTACATAAAACCAATGCCGCTATCCTAGATAGACCATATTGCTAAGGCTTATACTTATTTACATAATTTTAGCGCATCCTACTTTTCGCAAAACTTTTGTTGGTCAAATTTTAAGTTTTAGAAAAGAGTGATGAACTCGTCAACTCATTATTGGCTCTGGTACCAAATGTGGCAGAACCGCCCGAATTAAGCACTTACGGAGGCGCTCGTCTTCCACCAGACACTAAGCACCCCGAAAGCAAGCTACAACGGGCAGGTTCCGTCGGGCACACCCAAAGGGAGAGCCCGAAAGATCCGCATTTTTCCTCAAGGATCCAATAATGAGAACGAGTTACAATACTTAATACATTTCATACATCTAGAGTTCTTAGAAATTCATTATTACATTGCCAAATGTCAAAGTGTAGAATATTAAACAGCGGAATGTAAATAAACATCTATCGACAAGAAACAAGGATCCGTCTGTGCCCACCAGAAGAATCCTTCACACAATGGTACTCCTCAAGCATTACCTGCAACAGGGGTAAATAAACCCTGAGTACACAATGTACTTGCAAGACTTATCTGACTAGTGAGAATAATTTTCCGACACCAAGGGATATGCAAAGCTTTATGGTTTGCTGGTTTCTTTTTGCAGAAAGCAATACTAATAGTGAGTTCTTATTTATGTTATTATTAGCAGTCTTGATTAATTTATTATCTAGCCATTCAATGTAAGCACATGTTCTACTTTCAAGCAAGAGTTGAGCAATCAGTTCTATTTCATCATATTTCATCTTTCAGTTCTTACTACGGTGCTTTCAGTACCGGATTGCCTAGCGATTCGCGAATCAATGCCCCCAGCTGGGTATCCCGAAAATACACACCCCAGGCACAAGCAGGACCAACCCATCACCCTCCTGTCATGGGGTCTAGGTCTCTGTCCAAACTTGGACTCCAAGCCCTCGCTCCTAAGTCCCGGACTTAGTACGGTGTAAGGACCTCCACCATCCCCGCCTCCAATCAGTCGGTCCGAAAAGAGCCGGAACCCACGATAAGATAGCAACAAGTCTTTCTTGCGCCCATACCCAAGTATGTGCTCAGGATAATAAATCTGTGACTTGCCTCGAGACTTATGCAACGGCCGGTCCTTAACCGATACAGATAGAAAAAAAGTGTAACCAAGCTATGCCCTGTTGGCTGCAGAACATAACCTCTTACACCCACCAGCACCCAAACCATATCTCTGCTCGGTCACTATTTTTCCTTTTCACCACTTTATCATGAGTGATCATAATTATCACCTATTGTGAGTAACGACAGGTTACTCACGCTACCGATACCCTGAGCATAGCAGCTACTCAACCTATACTAGTATGACTCATAGGTAGATATATTTATGCATGTAGTTTTCATAAAATGCCTGTAACGTAAATGCACATCATATATATTCAGTAATTATTAAAAAATAGGGGTTATGTACCAGGGCTTGCCTTGGGCAGGCGGTGGGTCGACAAAGTCAACACCAAAAGGCTCTAGGCTCCCTCCTGCACGAGGATCTCCTCCTCGTACTCCTTAATGACCTCTTCGTCGTCCTATTCATCCACAGGCACGAACTCTACCAACTTGTGATCTACATGCATGAAATGATGATGCAACACTTAGTAATACAGCAACAACAACTCTTAAAATAAAATACATCTATCAAGCTACTAAGCTAGTTCTACCGACTAAGGTGCTATGTTACCTACTGTTACCACTAACAAGTATGAAGCATGACATATATTATCTTAGCAACTAAAGGTATTCTTACTCTTAATACCGATTTACTCTATATATGATAGAACAAGGGTACTAGCTACTCTATTTATCAACCTACTCTAGGGCTACAAAAATTACAGTGAGTACATAATAATCTAATGATCCTACTATAAAATTTTCATGGCTAAAGCTATCATCAATTTGCCACAAAAATTCCTACAAACATTAAGCTAAATACTACCAAGCTCTCTAAATTGAATTTATGAACCTATCATGATCACATCTAACTGTAAATTAACTACACCAACAGATAGATAACATTTTTGTGAACCTAACAAATTTTATTTCACTATTTTTGGACATCTATAAGATTTACTACAAATTATCAAAGTTCAGCTGAAGACCAAATTGAATAAACATTTATTACCTTACTGGAAAATGGAAAACCTAATTCTACCGCGCGGCCCAAAACGCGAGTGGCCGGGTCCAGTTCGGCGCAACGCGCGCGCACACGCGACGCACGGCGCGGCCCAGCCGGGCGACGACGGCCCGCGACGGGGAGGCCCGCGCGCACCGGTCATCTTACGAAAACGCCCTCAGACTACCCAGTAATAGCATGAGCACTAAGCGCACTATTCTAACAGTCAGCTAACTTACAATCCCCCTTCCCCCTTTTCTTCTTTACCACGGCCATACCCTCGGCCTCCCACGCGCGCACCGGCGCGGCGACGCTAGCACTGGGCGGTTACGCCAGCCACACCAGTCCCTCCTCGTCCTATCTACGGAGCCGATACTTTACTAGGCTTGAACGCGAAGCACTAGGTGAAGGAAGTGTGAGCTGGGACGCCACAGTAAGGCTGGACCACGGTGGCGGAGCTCTTGCACTGAAACGATGACATTCCGGTGAGCTACAACAACGCTGGAGAACTTGGGGTAGCGAGTGAGCTCAAGGAACTCACCACGAACATAGACGACGTAGTGGTTCGGCTGGATACTGCTCGAGCCGAGCTGGCCGCGTGCGTGCGGACGGTGCGGCGGTGCACGGCGGTGGCAAGGCTACGTCAGAAACGGCTAGGTGGTGGTAGCGATTAGGCAAAGGTGCGCAGGGTGATTAGCAGGTGGAGGCGAAGCTGGCGGTGCAACGAATTGGACACGAGCCGCACTGAAGTGGGGCTTTGCTGTCGACGCGTGCCACGGTGGTCTTAACGACCCGGCGGGAGGAAAACTCCAAATTGGAGCGTGGCACAGTTCGGATCACGACGCGATGGGGTCGGGTGGCTGGCTGACTACACCGCGAAGCTATGGACGGAGTTAATTGGGCCGAGGCGGCTCCACCAGGTTGAATTGTAAACGCGGGACCGGCGACCAAGGCGACAGAGGAACAGGGGACGGCCGGCACGGCTTGGCGTGACGTTGCCGTGGCGGGACGCGGCTGTCAATCGGTGCACAAACGCGTACGGCTATAGGGCGATGGGGAAGCGGCCAACGTGCTCAGGACGGTGGGCCGCATGGCCATAAAATCGCAAACCGACAACGGTGGCTTGGCCCTACGTGCCGCAGCGGATGGCACCAGTCAGAGGAGGCAACAGCGCAGCGTCGTCGAGCGCCGACGTGACGGTAAGGTAGGTGGGGCAAGGCGACATGCGGGCAATGCCAAATGTGGCCACGCGCGCATGGTACCGCTAGACAGGCATGAGGCGGCAGAGCGGCTAGCCGGACACGACGGCTATGGCAGAGCGCACGTGGGCGACTTCGCACAAGCGACCATGGCCAGTAGCAGCGCAGTGATGCGACGTGCGGGGTCAGTGACACGGTGAAGCGGCGACAATGGCTGAGCCAGAGTAGCGGGCCCGTGACGCCGGCGGTGGTGGCAGAGCGGCCAGGTCACCTGGCGCGGCGTGCGCATGCGTGCGTGAGCGCGTGCATGAGCGTGGCAATGGTGGTGCGGGTGTGCGCGCCAGGGTGCGGCAACGGTGGGGCGGGTGCGTGCCTGGACAAGGCAGAGCCACGGCACCAAGCCGAACCGAGACAGGGACCGCGTCCAGACGCTAACACTGGCCGGAACGTGCCATGCACGATTTTTAAAGCTGCTAAAAAATCCAACTCAATAATCCGAATGCTAAACCAACTATTTAGCGCTCGAGATGGTATGTCAAACTACTAAAACAAACTCTAAGACCATGCCACTGCTTAACCCGATTCTCCTATAAAAATTCCCAAACGTAGCCTCGTCACACCGTTTTCTAACTTAAGAAATTTGATTACGTCTCGCTCGGATTTGCG